GAGGTTTTCTGAAAATATGTATGAAGCTGAATAAGCTCTGTGATCCGCTTTTTGCACAGATTTGCACAAAAATTGAGATTGATAAAAAAAATGGTAGCGGGATGCTAAAAACTTATGTTCACCGTCTGTAAATTTTATGTGCCTTTGATAAGCTCTTTTTGCACTAAATTTCATATATTTTATGCTAGGCCTTAACTCTTATATTAATTCAGACTTCTTGTCTTGCCTTGTAACGGCATTCACTCGGGATGGGTTGAGCTGGCTCCAATTAAATTAGCCGCATCGCGCGTCAAGGCCACCCCCCACCGTCGATCGGCAGCAGAATCGACGGCATGATCGAGCCATTCATGATTCCAGCGTCGGACCCTGAAAACGCGAGGACCGGACATGAGTTCCATATCTGCTTTGACCGTTGCAAGCCACGTCTTGAGTTGCCCACCTCGGAGCTTCCTCCAACCAGTGGGTGCGTTTGGCGCCACCAGTTTACGGACGAACTCATCACCAGGCCGCCGCAACACGTGGCCGAACCACCGGAGTCTCCTGTTAAGCAGAGTTTCTTCCAGGCCCAGAATGTTGCATCTGGCGCGGATGGACGAGTTGGGGGGGATCCGGTCGGAGAGGCGCACGCGCAGGATACGGCGGAGGCAGTAGTGATCGAAGACCTCAAGCTTATGAAGATCCTCTCTGCGCAGTGGCCAGGTCTCACAACCATAGAGAAGAATTGTTCTGGCCATGGCTTCGTAGATTCGCAACTTCGTGGGTCGTCTTATCTCCTGGCGAAACCGAAGTCGTTTTTGAAGACGGACAAAGGCAGCTCTAGCAAAATTTATACTGGTGGTGATTTCGTCCTTCGCTTGACCAGTGACTGTAAAATTAACAATAATAGTAATAAAATATTTACATTTATTACGATTATTTCTAAATCTTATTCTGGGATAGCATGTCCATCTTCGCTTATATCAACCTCCTCCAGTTTGTGTTCTTAAGAATGACACCAAAACCTATGTACTGAACTCTTGACCTCCAATTTGCATGATCTCCCATTCAAGGTTTATTACCTACTCCCGGAAGATTAATGGCTCCCATATGCTACAAATGCCGGTTTGCATATCGAGTTAAAGGAATATAATATGTAAGCAATTAAGTCTGTACGCAGTTGCAAGAATTCGTTTCTAATATTTCATAATTCTTCCTATTCTAACTTTCAATAGAGTAATTCTACAATTATCCGGACTCTTTCGGACAGTGGTTGAAAAAATATGTTCGGATAACTGAATACTCAAATTACCAAAAACAAACGAAGAAAAAATCATTTAACATTTATATCAATTTATTTCTGAAATTTCTGGATTGAGGAGTTATCATTATTTACACTAGAGGACCGTGGCGGCGATGTTGAGTCGAAGTATAAGAACACGCGTGAGTTAAGATTTTCCTGCTAGAGCCGGTCCAACTACATGAGGAAGTTGGACTTTAATTAAGTCCAAAGAAGGCAAAGGAAACAAACACAAGATCGATAAATATATGTAAACAAATATATGTATTAATAACAAGAAAGGTTACAATTTACATGGACAGTTACATGGACAGAGTGCGTGTGGTGAATATTATGTATGTGTGTGTGTGTGTGTGTGTGTGTGTGTGTGTGTGGTGAGTGTTCGTACGTACGTGTATTGTTCTTAGCGTATTTCCAGCATTTGGGAAACGCTGTATCTGTGAGCGTTCACATCTGCGAGGTGGTAAGACTGAAAGACTGAGGCAAAAAGAGGAAGAGGCGAAGAGTCAGCAGTATTTATAGCCAGGGAAAGAGACTCATGGTGAAAGGGTTAACGAACTAAAGGAGGAACTAACTCCGACAACTCTATGCTAGTGATAAGATCTTTTTTTGTCAAAATGTCTAACTTGAAGATAAAGTACAGGGAGTAGTGGATTCATACCTTTACTAAGTTTAACAGCCTTGGGAATGTACGAATCCATTAATGAAGGGAATATTGCCTTACCTGATTCATTCCACTTTCTGTGTGATTAAGCATTATTCCGGCCCCGACTCCTGAGACAGAATGGCGATAATTAGTTCGACATTTAAATTTGATTGGGACATTTACACCAGTGAATATCATACAGTCATTTTTAATCGTTTCACCCCAAGAAAGGCGATACTTCTACTAGAAAGCAGGGGGGTTACAGGGAGTGAAGATAATGAGAAGACAGGAGGACTGAGAAAAAGACAAAAAAATAACAGGGTTCAAGAAGACAGAAGACGGCGATTGATGTGGCAGTTAAATTTTTGAAGATTGTAATTATAAGGCGTTGTGCCATAGTACCTATTCTTTGGTAATGGACTCTCCCATAGATAATAAGTAGGAGTAGCAGTGGCAAGTCTGGCAGAACGGTGTTGAGAACGTCAGTCGAGATTCGGACATTTGAAGTGCCAACCATCACAACTAGATTTGCTGCGTCATTGACTATTGTTTTCCAAGTTCCTAACGTTTTGTACGACTTATTAGAAATACAAGCCTCCACTATGAAAATACTCCACAACATAAGGGAAGCAAGAAATCGGAAGGGAGTTCTGCAGGTGGGAAGAGCGAGTAAAGAAACTGTTAGTGTAAAAGTGGCGGGTGAATCTAGCTAGTTCAATAGTAAAACAGTGAGACGTAGTTGCCAATCTAATAGCAGGCTTTTAAATTCATGTAGGCGGAGCACGAAGGAAGAAGGCTCATTAAAACAGTTGCCATGAATATATATTTCTAGAAAAGACAGAGTTAAACCATGTTACGTCGGTGAGAGAATTATCCATAAAGGCTGGACTATAATTTAATTAGAGCCACTTAAAAAATTGAGTTGATCCGATATTACATACAGGTGCTTCTGAGTTAATCTGTCCAGAAGAAAAGAAGAATAAATAAAAATCAAAACCAATATTTGCTTTCAAAAATTCAAGATGGCTGCCCATAAAATTCTATTTTTTAATAAAAAATAATGTAATCTGCTTTCATTATTGATTTTGATAATATGGAAATTGAATTTATGATTTTTGAAGCTATTCAGTTTTGTCAATTTAGGTCATGCAGATAACAGCCCGATTTTTTCTGTAATGTTTGCATAAAGCCATTACATTATGTAATTGCCCTATTCTGCGTTAATTCGTGACCACAGACAATCCCTTTCTTTGATTTCCATTTCGGTTCTACAGTAAGTTTATCATCAATACGTAGAAATTTCAAATAGAGTATATTTGTAAAAGGACAATATGGATATGTGTGTATGACATCCGTCAATCTTGAGAAACCTTGCATCTGCGCCCGAAGAGTTATGTCTCAGCTGCTGGTGGCGGTGCATCATTTGTGAGGCGACGCTGGTGTGTCCTCTCCAGGGTACAGACCTGGGCAGGGTTTGATGAGAGCTCGGTGGTTGCCTATGCAGAACGTCTCCTCTCTCCGCTCCAGCGATGTTGTCCAAGAGAAAGCCAGTGGCCTATACAGCTGGCACCGGCTTCGTCGCAGGAGTTGTCAGAACAAAGTTGAACATATCATCGGACTGTCTTAGGGACTCCGGGTTTGTACTCTGGGTTTACTCTCGAAGCCTTTCTCATGATTGGGTATGGCCTTAAGGCAATGAAGGTTTAAAATCAGAGTTTTCCTTTTCTTAGATGGACTTCGTTCCACCTACCCGAAAATATGAATAAAGACAAAAAGAACACTTTGCCGACGCGTCTCATCTGATTGACTGTAACAAGGCAAATGCAAGGATTTTATTTTGTAAAAAGTAACAAGCTCTTGTATATAAATTCTTGTTACAAAATAAAATCCTTGCATTTGCCTTGTTACAGTCAATCGAAGAACAAAAAAGCGTCAGCTAAAGAACTTGGAAAATTTTCATTTTGTCTTTATTCTGTTAGCAATGCATTTGCATTAGCCATACAATCGCCCTATTCTGCAAGTAATATTTACATTAATTCCTGACATCTGACAATCCTTTTCTTCCTGATTTTCAATGGGTTTCTCTTTACTTCTATGTGCTGTTTCACCAGGACGTGGGTGATCATGGCTTTTCACAACTTCCTCTCTTTTGTAGCTCTTAGCAACCTTTGCCTTTTTACTATCTCCTCCCTCTTCTGTCATCTATTTAAAGAAGTTCATTAGGTAGGTTACTCGCTGCTTTCCTCTTTCCTACTTTCAATATATCTTATGAGTGTCAAATTCTCCAAGCTTTCTTTTCTCATTATGTGTCCAACAGATTTTAACTATCTCTTTCTGAGTTTACGTAATAATTGGCCTTTGTGTTTCTATTTTCTATAAAACTTCCGCGTTGCCAACATCCTTTGTTCATGGTATTCTCAGCATTCTTCCGAATAACACATCTCTGTTGTCTCAAATCTTCATCTACGAGGAAATTGTCCAGTATTGCATAAGAATTGAGCATTCCCTGTCATATAGCTGGATAAAAATTAAGCACAATTTCTTTGTTTCTAACGAACATTTTGTTGTAACTGCGTTATCGAAAAAAACAGTAGAAAACCGGAATTGGTTTAACAAGTTTATTACCTTTTGGTACAGGAAAACATAATGTAGAATAGAAACTATGGAAGAGAATGTTTAGACGTAAATGACTGTTGCCAGCAAATGCTACTACTGCTACTGCTCCTCCTGCTACTCCTCTTGATGTAGGAGTATTGTTTATGTCTTTCGGCTGACGGTCGTGTCCAAACTTGTAAGGAACTATTCTCCTTCACAACACTTTTCATGTTTCTTAATATTTTGCTGAGTTTTGGAGGTCCACTTTTTCATTCCAATGAGCCTTCAGATTTCGATGTCACATTTTCTGTTATCTGTTAAAATACTTTCCAGATATTTAAAGCTGTGCACTGTTTTGGTTTTTACATCTCCATTTCATAGCTCGGATTACTGGTGTTTTCTCTTGCTAATAATCATACATTCTGTCTTCTTATGAGTTATAGTTAGTCCTTTCTTCCGCTTTTCTTTTTTATGTCTAAGGCTTATGGCCACATCACGTTGAAACACCGATTCCTGTATGATCATCAAAGTTAAGCAACATTGGGTCTAGTTAGTAGCTAAATGGGTAACCGCTTGGGAATATTACGTGCTGTAAGCTTGGATGTGCGGGTGGTGTAATGGATAATAGCTCGGAATTGTTAATCGGAGATCCGAGTTCCAATTTTCGTTTGGGTTCATTATATTCATTTACACGCAAATACCCTTAAAAAAGGCATGAATCCACATTTTCTCCCACCTAGCTATGGGTTAATTAGTAAAACTAGTATCACTAAACTATTATTATTTTTTAAAAAAATTACAATATTTTCTGGCTTTAAATAACCTGTAAAACAAATCACCCAATCTACCATTTTTAGGAAATCCTATACTTATCTTTCAGTGTCTACCATCAACACAATATCATTTTCGTATCCTATATTATTAAGAGTATACCCACTGATAATAAATCCTGGTAGGATCTCCAGCTTCTTTAGGTTAACTTCGTTATAAAGGTTGAATAAATCTGGTGAGACGACACATCCTTGTCTTATGCCAATTTCTGTTTTTGTCTACTTAATTCCTTTTCTATCCATATGCAAGGAAGCTACGCGGGAAATACTAAAATTCCCCTAAAACAAGCATCATGAGACACTCAAGTTAGTGGGTAGCGGTTAATGGTGAATAAGGTTTGTGATATTAATTTCTCCCTATCACACACACACACATAAAGGGTGCGATTGATAAATTGTCGTATAAATGATGCAAAAATGAAAATAACACTGACATCTTATTTTAACAGATATATTTACCAAAATTACACAAACATATCTTGAAATACTAAAGAGTAGATTTATCCAATAAAATCGACATTGGCTTCAAACACGGTCTCTAGCCAACTTCGGAATCTCCTGCATCTCTTCCGGATGGTCTCCTTGCTTAAGTTAGTGAATGCTGCCATAATCCTTGCCTTCAGTTCATCTTTGGTGTTACAAGGAATTTTGTTGATCTCTCGCTCAACTGTGCTCCACACATAATAATCAAGGGGGTTGCAGTCTGGTGAGCTATGTGGCCAGATATAAGGGGCGATGTGGTGGCAGAAATTGTATGAAAGTCATGACTGGATTCTCCTGCGTGTGTGGCATGGTGCAGAGTCCTGTTGCTAGACATAGAATATTTCAGAAGTTACCCTCTTAACCTAGGGCAGTACTACCTCCTCAAGTCCGTGTTGAGTCTGAGGCCCTGTGGGAAGATGAATGGAGGTATAATTTCGGCATCACTGGTGATCACTCCAAACACCATGATGTTGACTGAACTTTTACCTTCGTAATCACCATTAGACTCATCCAACTCTGCACTGTTCTCAGATTGACACCCAAACACTCTGAAATGTTCGCATTGGAGCTTCTGGCACGAATGCTAAGCAGTACAGCATGTCCAGAGTTTTCAATCTCCTAGGCTGGTTGCCAACCAAGGCTAAAGAGCTTAGCCTTCCTGTCTATTTAACCCATAGCTGGGGGAAGATGAGATGTATTCATATCTTTCCCAAAAGTATTTGCATGTAAGTGAATGCAACAGACACAACTGGAATTCAAACTCGGTTCTTCGATTTCTCATTCTGAGCCATACATCAATCGTATGGAAGTGGATAAATACCATATTTACTGGATGTCTCATTATTAAAATTAACTAAATTAAACTTAATACACATACACTATTATAACATTTTTAGTAATACTTGTTTCCATGGAAACTTATCTCACACTAACTTGAATAAAATATCAGTCTTAGGTGAATATAAAATTCATGATTGTTCTCTTTAATGAAATTAATCTTGGAAAATTTATAGAACTGGAATCTCCTTTTTGGGGATAGCAAGCAGCTGTTTAGTCCCATTTTCTTGGATTGCCTTTGATATCTTTGTTCCTTTCAAGTGAAATTTGATTTTAGAAGACGAGAAAATCTCAAGGAGCATCATCTGGGGAATGTGGTGGTTGACAGACCTGGGGAATGTTGTCCTTGTTCAAAAACTATCACACTGAGGGAACCCGTGGTGTGGTAAGACGACCACACTCTACACACTTTCCTCCCAAGTACTTCTATAAACAATGGAAGTGAGCAAGAATGTCATAACTTAGTCAGCATACATAAAAAAGTTTTAGGCCAATCCATGTCAAGCGGCTTCACTCTGCATACTTTAGCTCTGTTACTATAGCAACAGTCCCGATACTTTTTGATCAGATCTTGTATATAAACTTGATGAATGTTCTCTTTAATAACATTCATCTCTGAAAATTTATAGAAAGGGCAACCTTACAATGTCTGCCAGCATTTCTTTGTAAGTATTGTAAATAATTCTTAATAGATCTTCATTTGGTAATCAATACACCAAAGTCCACAAGGAATACAAAAAATTCATTATAGAAGTACAATAATGAAATGATATGCTGATATCCTGATCAATGAGCTGTAAATATACAGCAATGATGTTGCTTAAAATTCCCAGTTGTGTTGTCTAGCGTTTTCCAACCAATGAAGATGCTTGACCAAATGACTCAGTGTAGTCATATTCTATCAATAACACCCTCTCCCACACTCTGTGTGGTCAGGCTTATGGCAATAGCATGTTGAAACATCGGCCGTCATATGTTCATTGAAGTTAATCAATGATGAGCTTGGTCAGTATCTAGATGGGTAACTGCTTGGGAATATCAGGTGCTATAAATTTCGATGTGTGGATGGTGTAATGGATATAGGCTCATAATTGTAAATTGGAGAGCCAAGTTTCAATTCCAGTTGACTTTGTTATATTCGCTTATGTGAAAATACCATTGGGCAAGTGTTAGGAAGGTTACTGAATAGAATAATCAAATGAAGGTTGGTAATGAACAATAATACTTAGGACAAGAATAACATATAAGATTTGCCAGCAGCACATAGAGGAAGTAGTCAACTGCTAGAAGTGAGTCAAGTGAATTCCACAATGAATGTCCAACTCTAGGATATCTACCAACAACCCCACACAGTCAGATGTAGCACAAGGCCGAATTTAATGTGGGGTATCCGAAACTGTAAGCTCGGCCAAAAATTCCCCATAGGTCCTGTATAAAACGGGGTCAGGTAGCTGTTTCCCGAGACAAAACTCTACCCTTCGACATAGCTTCATCTGGGGATCCTCTCTGCCTGGATTCAAAGAGTTTGACCAGCACAGCCGGAGACAAATCTCTGACTGCAGACCAACATACAATATTTACTACTGCATAAAGTGAATTGGGACATACCCATTATTGTCCACAGGTATGCTACAACATTAAGGCATGAATCCAGCTCTTCTACTTCCAGCTATAAGTTAATTAGTAGGACTTGTATTTGGGTATAAATAATGTGTCTCCAAGTCTATAAAAAAAACTTTGCAAGCCTCTTGCTACTCTGTTTTCTATGACATGTGTTTTGATAAGCTACATTTTTTGGTTTCATGAGACATTACCTTTGCTACTGGGACCTGCAATGCCACATACATCATGGGTAATCATCTGCATTCCCTTCGTTTCCATTAGTAAGGAATAAGTTTCACTCAATCAGCTTTTATGTTATTTATCAATCTTTTGCAGGTTATTTAAAGCCAGAAAATATTTTTAGATTGTAAGAATTTTATGGATATAATAATGATATACTGATTCAAGCTCTACATGGAAAGGTGGATTCTTACCTTTTGCAGACATTTATGTGTAAGGGAATATAACAAACATGACTGGAATAGAAACTCTAAGGTCATCACCGATTGGTGACAGGCCTGGAGATTACATTCAAGCATGAAACAAACTGTTGCTACTTGGTGTTGTCCTCACTGTCCACTTTTATATTTTATATTGACATTCTCTGTCTTTGATATTGAGCACTTTTACCCATAAAATATAGCATACCATAAAACTATATTTTTATCATTATATATATATATATATATTATAATTATTTTAAGACATTTTTATGTTCATACATTCTTTTTATAGACACAAATATTTAAGTAAATTCTCTGTTTATAATAAACAGTAATAAACAGCATTGTTTAATACTGTTTATCATAAACAGAGAATTTACTTAAATATTTGTAATCTATAAATCATATAAACATAAAAATGTCTTAAAATAATTGTTGGACTTTATCCATTTCATAATGTATAATTATTTTCCTTTTTTTAAAAATATGATTCCCTCGCGACACAGGATGGAATCATTTTATTAAAAAAAGAAAATAATTATAATATTATACTCTACTTCTTGTATTGAGAACTATTTTTTTTTTTAAATAAAAAATAATTACTAAGAACACAGGATTATAAATCTTACTGTTCTTATTATTTATTATTTTATGTATATATATATATATATATATATATATATATATATATATATATATATATATACACACACATACATACATATATATATGTTTCAAATGGAGTCTGGTATGTTTCTGTGTGTGTTGTTTTAATGGGTTCTAAAAGAGCTCTGGTCAGATAGGTGTAACGTAAGGTGTCTGGAAGCCCTAATAATAAAAAAGAAAAAGCCAACACGTAAAAATATTAGCTACGAACTAGGCCACAATGTGCTAACTATGTTCAGAAAATAAAACACCTCTATAACACACCAAAAGCATACACATAATGCACACACTCAATTAAACTGAAAAAATAAAATCATTCTTGATAATGGCTAAAAGTATAGTCAAAAGCGCTTAGAACTATAGAACATTTCGACAGTTTCTACACCCTCTGTGTCCAAAAAAGAAAGCTCTTGTGTGAACACAAGAAAAATTAAATAAAAAACTTAATTGTAGTACCTTGTCTATTGTTTTTAATGAAACATGCATATATATATATATATATATATATATATATATGTATATATATATATATGTAATAATTATACATTTTTTTCCTCATCAGTAGCACAACTCTGCAATTTATGCACAATGTGTCGAGCAATCACGTGGTCAAGATAACCACTCAGTTGTGGAGCAAGCTGAGTGAAGAACTAATTCATCATAGAGACAGAGCTATTTATGGTGCAATGGAGCATCTCATTATGCTAAAGTGGGATAGTCCATTGCTTGGGCTAT